GTTCAGTAAGTCAGGAAACGGGTTTCTATTGTTCTCATTGTTACAAAAAATGAGAACAATAGAAACCCGTTTCCTGACTTACTGAACACTATGTATATTTATATATTCCTACCGCCGCTGCCGCCGTTTATACCTTAGGTATAACGTTCCCCCCGCCCAACAAATAAGGCTATACCTAGTGCATGATACGTTTACATACTTAAGTCACTTTACATATATATATATATTCTAATTACTATTAAAAATATATATTAACACGCTTTATTCTCATTAAGAGATATAGAGTGTATTCATTCCGATTACAAAGGATGTTTCCCGTATCATCATTTTTCGTCACTACCTAAATGTTCCGGGAGTGGGTAATTTACGCGCCTGCTGCTTTCCTTGGATGTGGTAGCCGTTTCTCAGACTACCTCCCTGGAACAAACACTGATTTCCCGTTACTTATTACAACCATGATATTGATAGTAGTTATTATCAAGGTAGACATGATGCCCATGCACTCAGACCTGTTTGTCCATTGTGCGCATGATATTGATAGTAACTACTATGATAACATGAAACTAAAAAGTGTAAAATAAATATAGTTTAAAAAAACTAAAAAAACACGCTTTTAAAGCACATCGAACTAAAAAGTTAAAAATAATTTTTAAAATAAGCTTAAAACAATAATAAACGATAAATACTAGTATTATTGTAATAAAAGCGACGGGCGCTCAATATACAAAAAAATATGGCACAAAGCACCCACGCTTTTATTACAAAAGTTAGTTTTTTAGTTTTAGTTTAGTTTTTTTAAACTATATTTTTATACAATTAAACAAGAAGTGGTCAATTGAAATGATTCGCAACGTGAACTGACCGTAGCCGTAGTGCTATGCATAATGTGCTGTTTAGTGCCTCCAATTCCATTTATCTGATGATGTACATTGCACCTTTTTAATTTTAGTAGTTGTACCATTTTTTCAGTTATGAAATTGCTTCCTGATCCTAAGTCTAATAATACTCTACATTTAATCGGTTCATTGCGCTCAACGCAACAGCTGTGGAAAGTAGTATGGTGTTATCTTTAGCTACTACCGTCTGAGTTGTCATGGCCGTAGATTCATTATTTATCGATAGTGCGTTTGATGATATCGGCACGTCATTATTTTGATTGTTATTGAAAAAGGGATTAATAAAATATATTATTTCTCAAAAAAAAATTGTGTTGATTCATACACTTTTCAATAAGTTATAGCATTATAAAGTTAAAAATGTAAAAAAAAAATCAAGAATTTTCACACAAAAATAGCATTTGATAACTATTTTTATCGTGAAGACAAAAGTCCGAAATTTTTTTTTGATAATAAAGTGCATTACATTAGCTTTAATTTAAGGTAATATAAAATTGTCAGACTATCCGGAACACTTTAAATAATTAAGCTGAATAGTTATCATTTTGAATCCCCTTGTGAGCAGGTAAAGGGTCAGATTTATATAAAAAAAAAACGGTAGCACAGTGGGGACGAGGCATAGATGGGACAAGTATAGATGATATCTGACAGTGATTAAAATCACTATC